TTACCCACTGATACGTCCAGCCTCCACCTTGGCAACCGTGCATTTGACCCTCCCAGCCCAGTTCTTGGTTATCCAGCTCTTCAACTCAGGTCTGGGGTGAAGAGGGTTGCCCTGCTACTTCTGCTCCCCACCCTGCTGTATCGTGGGAGGCTGCGCCATGGAATGTAAAACCCCCTCCCTGGCTTCCTGATGGGAGGCACTGGCAGGAAAGCCTAAGGCAGAGAGGGAGTTTGAGGACTTTATCTTCTTGGCCTCCCTGCTCAGCCATGCTTCCCTGCACTGAAGACCCCTGTCAACTGGCCGCCTTTCATTGCTCTGTTCCCTGCCCTCACTAGCCCTGACTACGACATTATCTTTGCAGGTTTTCTTTCTCTTTGTCTCTTTTAAATTTGCTGTGGGGAGACCAGCAGTTAGCGTAATGGCTATGTTGCTGACATGCGGTCAACCGTGGTCGACCGTGATTTGAGTCCCGAACCCGGCGGCTTGAACTCATGCCGGGCACGTGTGTGCATGCCCAAGATCCTGAGAGGAGAATGGAGGAGAAGGGATTGCGGCGTGGCAATCTCCCCTAGGGGGTGATTTCTCGCTGTCTCTTCTCTCTGTCTTTCTGGTGATTGCACCCCCCCTATAGCAAAAACCTCTCCAAAAAAAAAATTTTTTTTTTTTTTTGCTATAGGGTGTGTGTGCTTATGGGAGAGGGAACATGAGAAAGCACTCCCTGGGGGGATGACCATGCCACAGTTCCTTCTCCATTCTCCTCTCTAGATTTTGGGTAGCCATTCACATACACCTGGCATATTTTTCAAGCTGCTGGGACTGGGACTCAACCATGCAGTCTGCCACATGGGATCCAGCTGCCTTAACCGCCATGCCAGCTGGCCGGCTCATCTTTGCAGGTTCTTCTTTTTATTTAGAGAGGGAATTTTTTGCTATAGGCACATGTGGTCACAGGAGACAGAGAAAGTGAAAAGTCACTCCCAAGGGGGGATAGCCACGCTGCAATCCCTTCTCTCCGGTCTCCTCCTGGGATTTTTAGCATGCACGTACATGTGCCTGGCATGAGTTCCAGGTCACCGTCTGTAGTCCATCATGTTGGAGCTCAGTGCCTTAACCACTGCACTACCTGCTGGCTGATCTTTGCAGGTTCTTAACTTTCACCATTCTTCTATAGCCCCCGCCCCCCTTTTTTTTTTGGTTAAATACCAGAGGGAGAGAGGGTGGGGAAGAGAGAGAGTCCCCAGTGGGGCTTGGTCACACTGTAATCCCTTTTCTTCCATTCCTCCATCACATATGGATCCCTGGCATATGTGAACAAGCTCACTATGGTTTTAAAGCTTCTGGGGACCAGCTGGTGGCATAGTGTTAAGGCGCTGGACGTTCCCACATGGCCGACTATGGTTCGAGTCCCGGACCTGGTGGCTTGCTTTCCTCTGCCCACCCCCTGCACCGTATTTTTGTTTCTGGTCAAATTAAAAAAAAAAAAAAAGAAAAGAAAGTGAATGAATAAATAAAATTAAATAATTCTTTTAAAAAAAAAGCTTTTGGGGACCAGCAGGTGGCATGGTGGTTAAGGCACTGGACACTCCCACATGGCCAAACACGGTTCAAGTGCTGGACTTGTTGGCTTGCTTTCTCACTTTCTCTCTGTGTCTCTCTCTGGTCAAATTAAAAATGAATAAACAAACAAACTTAAATAAATCTTTTTTAAAAATTTTGGGGTGAGGATTTGAACTGTGGTCAACCATGTAGGATCTGACTCCCTCTTCACAGCACTTAACTGTTGTACTACGGGACAGGCCCAGTAGAGGTTTTTTTTTTTTTTTTTTTTCCCTAATAATTTTTTTTTTTACCTTTATTTTTATT